CTAGACTTATCCTCACACATATAGAGAAACTGATTAAAGGAAAGCTAGAGGAGCCAGAGTCATTTCTCAAGCCCAAGTGATCCCCAAGTAACAGATCCTCAACTGATTTTGACAGTTTAGAAAAAGTGACTGAATTTGGCACCTGAATGATCTTAAAATCCCCACAGGATTGTATAACCCATTAATAAAGTGACTGTTGTGTTTCATTTAGTAATCTAATGGATGACATTGCATAGACATTAGACTTGAATCCACATGAGATGTTACACAGGCAACTATCTCTCATTAATGCTTTTCTTCTCAGTGTGAAAATGCTGCCAAGATGCAGAACATTTTGACTTTGGCTCAATTCACCCCTGCAGTGCCTACCTGAAAACAAGAAAGACAGGCTCACTATTATTATTATTATTATTATTATTATTATTATTATTATTATTATTTCTTCCATTTTATTTAAATTAGAAACAAGCTTCTTTTACATGTCAATCTCAGTTCCCTCTCCCTCCCTTCCTCCCATGACCCCATTTACTCCTTATCCTTATCCTCTTTCTGCTCCCCTGGGAGTGTGAGGCCTTCCATGGGGTATCTTCAAAATCTGTCATATCATTTGGAGCAGGACCTAGAGCCTCCCCTATGTGTATAGGCTGAGAGTGTATCCCTCTGTGTGGAGTAGGCTCACAAAGTCCATTTGTGTACTAGTGATAAATACTGATCCACTACCAGAGGCCCCAAAGATTAACCAGACCTCCAAACTGACATTCAGGTTCAGGGGTCTGGAACAGTCCTATGCTGTTTCCCAGCTATCAGTCTGGGGTCCATGAGCTCCCACTTGTTCAGGTCATCTGTTTCTGTGGGTTTCTCCAGCCTGGTCTTGACACCTTTGCTCATCACTCCTCCCTCTCTGCAACTGGATTACAGAGTTCAGCTTAGTGTTTTGCTCTGGGTGTCTGCTTCTGCTTCTATAAGCTACTGGATGAAGGCTCTATGATGGCATATAAGGTAGTCATCAGTCTCATTATCAGAGAAGGGCATTCAAGGTAACCTCTAGACTATTGTTTAGATTAATAGTTGGGACCATTCCCTAGTGCCATATTTCTCTTTAAACCTATAATGGCTGCCTCTATTATGGTATCTCCTTTCTTGCTCTCCTCTATTCTTCCCCTGACTTGATCTTCCTGCTCTCTCCTATCCTTCTCTCCCTTCCTCTTCTCCTCTTCTATTTCTTCTAACTGCCTCTCCATTCTAACCATGCTTCCAATTAGCTCAGGAGATCTTCTCTCTTTCCCCTTCTCCAGAGGACCATGTATGTCTGTTTCTCAGCATCTTCCTGGTTTCCTACCTTCTCTGGCAGTGTGCATTGTAAGCTGGTACTCCTTTGATCTATGTCTAAAATTTATATATGAGCAGGGTCACCATTGTTTTAACTAAAAAAATTAAACAGCTTTTAAATTTCTTCTCTCCTTTCCTCTCTAGAATCATTAAGAGGAGGGTATCTTACTTACATTGTGGTTCTAACCATTCTATCCATGATAGTTACCAAAGCTATCAAGACCAGACCTTGTGGCTAAAATTACCTTTTTCCTGAGACTAAAAGGTATCCAACTTGTATTGCTAAATCTGTCACCTGATGCATTCTACCTCAAATATTTATAGATATCCCACATTGGTTTGGACTGTCCTTGGCTCAGGACATTGTGAACTGGTCAAGTCCTCATAAAAGCTTTCTTCAAGATGTACAAGTCCTGTTTTTCTGTGGGACATCTGTGGAGAGGCTTTCTCAGAGGCTGAGTTTCTCTTAACATTCTAGACATGTGGGGATATGAATTTTCTAGAGAAAAGGTCTAATTGTGTCAATCTTTAGTCATGTTCTTGGAGACAACAATTGAGGCAGAAAGGTACAAACTGAGCTCTGAGTAGATGCAATGAAAGAATATGGGATGCTTTTCAAGATATGGGGCCATAGTATCCTGGACAAACCCCAGGAACACATCCCATGATGATGCCTCCTAAGCTCCAGCTCATCTACTAATTAAGTAGCTAGAGCAACCATGGCTCCATCATTGACAACAGTTGCTGTTGATCTCAGAGGAGTGTGGCTGAGAAAGAGAGGAGTATAGGCAGAGGGGAAAGCAAAAGAAAACTCCTTGAGATGGCAACTTCTTGTTCCCAGAAGACAATTTGAGTTGAACTGGTGGGACAACATGGGTGGGGTACCTGAACAGAACTAATAGTGTAATGAAGAAGACATACAAGCACAATAAAACTCCCTAGCCAAAGCCCAATTAGCTGATTATCCTTGAGTACCCTCCCATTTCAGTGGATAAAGCATATACTTTCCTTTCTCCACAGCTCTAACTTCTGTCTTTCTAGGATGTTCTATTCTCTGTCTGTCTCAGGGATGGAGCATAGTATTCTCTAGATGATCACCAGCTTCCTTGCTATGGATGTTTTATAATGGTGTGTGGAGAATTCCAAGCACTTCTAGTATCACATTGCTGAAGAAACAGCTGACCAAATAAAATCTATTCTGAGGATCCATCTTAGTCCCCATTCCCTCAAGGCTATCATCAAGAAAACAAAAGGCAATGATGTTGTGGACATGAGACATGACATTATATGTAACTGATCAGAATATAAGTTAGTGAAACCATTATGGAATTTAGTGTAATGTTTCCTTGTAAAAATCCCCTAAAAATGCAAATTTGACATGTTCCAGCTTTAGTGCTCCTAGCTGTGTGTCTGAAGGAATCAAACTCACAATAACAATATGCACACATCATGCTGTTTTGGTACTGTTCAAGTTAACCAAATTGCAGTATTAGCTCATCTGTCCACCAGTGAGTACAAAAGGGTGAAATAAGAAGTGAATATGAGTGGCATATCTTACACAAGTGTATTAAAATATTACAATAAGCACAACATTTTGTATAATGCACACTACTAACAAAAATAAATAGAGGCTGAATAGGTGGCTCAATGAGTGAAATGCCCGTCTCACCAGCATGAAGAACTGTGTCCAGTTACCCAGAACACATGTACTATCCAGTTCCACACCCACATATGTAGCCCTAGCACTGGTGAGGACAATGCCAGTCCAGTCCATGGAGTTCATTGACAAGGCAGCCTGCGACGATGAGCTCTAGGTTTAAAGAGACCCAGAGGCAATTTCTCATGTATTTGCTTGTGTCTCTGTATGAGAGAGGGTAGGCAGGGAAGAAGAGAAGGGCTTGGTGATATAGCAATGACATCTAGAACAGTTTTTTCTAATTGTTTGGTCGGTTTGAATAATAATCAAAGACAACACCTGATGTTGATCTCTGACATGTACACACATGTACACACACCCACACTGATGTGTTCACACACAGCATCACACACAAACACACACACATAACATATAAAAATAAATGAATGCATAAATAGACAGATACATAAATAAAATTTAGCTAGGCTGTGAGCTGGAGCCATGTATGTTAAGACACATTTAAAGCTGTTTTATTTAAAAAATCTTTTTAATTATAGAAAATTTAATATTGATTATGAAGAAACAATACAGGGTTATATGAGCTGACACAGAGAAGAGACAAAGAACATAAACTTTATTTGATTATGAGAGATTGTTCAGAAATATTACAGAAAGTGACTAGTGAAATAACTTTGATTTGCTGAAAATAAGTTGTCATTTGGTGAAAAATGTATATGTAAGTACACTTACACATAAACTTAAGCAAATGTCTTAATCTTCTCATCTGCCTAAACTACTCCTTGTTTTAATAGTTTGTATTAGAAGAGTCTGGGCTTAAAATATTTCTTTGACATTAAGGTGTATCCACAGGATGGCAGTATATTCTCAGATACCCAGATGCAATCTTTCCCATGGTCCTTTGTGTCTATGTGTGTTGTGGGGGTGATGAGAGGGAGGAGGAGGGCTTTTGATGTGGCAGTGGAAACTAGGACCTTCTTTCTGATTGGATGAACAGTTTGGGGTTTTTCTTTCTTATGCATCTTACAGGAGAAGAATTTGAACTCCCTAATGCTGGTCCTCGTGTTATGGTTGAAGTGTGACTCTTCAGAGAAAACAGTAATGCATCCCTTAAGTGTTTTTATAGTAGCACTGTGGCTTCAACTGAGGGGTGAGTTTGTCCATTTTTATGGAAACATATAATTATAACATGCAAAGGTGTTGTGCACACATATATTAGGAGTGTGGTTAGAAATACTAATGTTCTCATGCTGAAACAAAAGCAGCTGGGAGGCCCATGCGGAAGCCATTCTGGGGTGATAGCATCCATATGCATTCAGTCCTGTTTGTCTGACCTTTGTCTTTCCGCACAGGGGTGAGCAGCCAGCAGAAGGTGCAGCAGAACCCAGAAATCCTCAGTGTCACAGAGGGAGCCCTGGCCTCTCTCAACTGTACTTACAGTGATCCTAATTATGATTACTTCTGGTGGTACAGACAGTATCCTGGGAAAAGTCCTGAGTTGCTCATGTCTATCTTCTCCAATGGTGAAAAGAAAGAAGGCAGATTCACCGTTAATCTCAATAAAGCCAGCCTGCATGTTTCCCTGCACATCAGAGACTCCCAGCCCAGTGACTCAGCTGTCTACCTGTGTACAGTGAGCACACAGTGCTCCCCAGACACCTGCAGTCTATACCCAAACCCAATGGGCCCCAGCAAGGTCTGGACTAGTGTGCAGAAAACAGGATGGAAAAATTCTGATTGTTCTCCTTGTACTTCATACCTAGTAGGAATTAGAGCCACAGAAGGGAGGAGTTGACTCACAGGGAAAATACTTTATTATTTCTGAGAATGCATGAAACACTTATTGTTGTGGTTAAAATATTCACTTTATTTAACTGAAGAAAATCATTCATTATATTTTAATTAAGGTTTCTGTCCCTCATTTCCTTCCAGATTCTCCCCAACCTCCCTACACAAATATCACAACTGCTTTCTCTTTTATCTCTCCCTTTAATATACAAATAGGCAAAAAACAAAAGAAAACAAAAGAAAGAAAAGGTACAAAGAAATATACATACAGAGACATATTGTTGTTAGAGTTTCAAAGCAGAAGGAATGATACCTTGGCGTATTGGAGCCAGGGGACACCAAAAAGTCACACCATTCAACAGGCCTCACACAAGAGATTTACTGGAGGGGAGTAAACAGAGGGTGCCTCTGATCAAGGATGGAAGCAGAAAAGAGGTTGGGCTGTGATGGCACTGGTTTCTTCGTTCCTTTTTTAAAAATTTAAATTAGAAACAAACTTGTTTTACATGTGAATCCCAGTTCCCTCTTCATCCCCTCTTCCCATGCCATCCCCCCCACTGACTCCCTATCCCATCTGCTTTCTGCTCCCAGGGAGGGTGAGGTCTTCCATGGGGGATTTTCAAAGTCTACCATATCATTTGGAGCAGGACCTAGACCCTCCCCCGTGCGTCTAAGCTGAAAGAGCATCCCTCTATGTAGAATGGGCTCCCAAAGTTCATTTGCATACTAGGAATAAAAACTGATCCACTACCAGAGGCACCAAAGGTTAACCAGACCTCCAAACTGACATTATTGTCAGGGGGTCTGGAACAGTCCTATGCTGGTTTCCCAGCTATCAGTCTGGCATCCATGAGCTTCTCCTTGTTCAGGTCATCAGTTTCTGTGGGTTTCTCCAGCCTGGTCTTGACCCTTTTGATCATCACTCCTCCATTTCTGCAACTGGATTCCAAAGTTCACCTCAGTGTTTAGCTGTGGGTGTCTGCTTCTGCTTCCATCAGCTACTGAATGAAGGCTCTAGGATGGTATATAAGGTCAACCTCATTATCGGAGGAGGGCATTTAAGGTAGCCTCTTGACTATTGCTTAGATTATTAGTTGGGGTCAACCTTGTAGATCTCTGGACATTTCCCTAGTGACAGATTTCTCTTTAAAACTACAATGGCTCCCTCTATTGTGGTATCTCTTTTCTTGCTCTCCTCTATTCGTCCCCTGACTTCATCTTCCTGCTCTCTCCTGTCCTCCTCTCCCCTCCTCTTCTCTCTTCTCTTTCTCCTAACTCCCTCTCCCCTCCCCCCATGCTCTCAATTTGCTCAGTAGATGTTGTCCTTTTCCCCTTCTCCGGGGAACCATGAATGTCTCTGCTACTGGCATTTTATACAAAGGGCACAGTGCCTGCTCATAGGGAGAATATGTGACTCGAGCCAACAGTGGAAATATGTGGCTTAAGGCATGCTTGGGGAAGGGTGTTGTTTTCCAACACATTAAATCAAAATGTGTAAAAACACAAATCTGAAAATCATAATTCACATGCAAAAGATCAGTAATATTTTTTAAAAATATCCAAACAGAGCAATAAGAGAAAAATATATACAAAATACCATTGATTTAGTTGTATGGGCCATATACTTCTAGGAATGGGGCATATCTGACTGTGGTTTGTATATTCAGTGACACTCCATTGGAGAAAACTAGTTTTCCTTTGCAAGCACATGTCCATAGGAGATACCTTTTGGTTAGAGATGTGACCCTGTGTCTGCATCCACCTCTCAGCATAGGAACCACATCTGGTTTGAACCTGTGCAGCCCGTGCACATGCTGCCACAGTCTCCATGAATCCATGCGGAAATAAGTTTTGTTGTCGTTCACCCCTTATGACTCTTACAACTCTTTCCTCCTTTTACTTCACAGGGTTCCCTGTGCACCAATGGGAGGGATTTGATGAAGACATCTCATTTAGGACTAAATATTCTAAAATCTCTCACTCTGAACATTGTCCAGTTACTGCAAGAGGAAGTTTCTGTGGTGATAGATGAGGGAAATACTGGTGCATGGGAGTAACAGAATGTCATTAGGAGCTGTTTTACTGCTATGTTTATCACAATGATTCACAGTCTATGGGTCAAGACCCCCTTGTGTGTTGAATGATCCTTTTACAAGAGTCACCTAAGATCATCAGAAAACACAAATATTTACATTACTATTCATAGCAGTAGCAAAATTACAATTGTGTAGTAGCAATTAAGATAATTTTATTATTGGGTGTCACCACAACATGAGGAACAGTATTAAAGGGTTGCAGCATTAAGAAAGTTGAAAACCACTACTTTAACAGAGCAATAGTATTTGGATTTCCACTAGGCCCGGGCCTATCCAAACTAAGGTTCACTGATGCAGTGTCAGTCATGGATTCCATGTCACATGAGTGGGCCTTTATCTAAAGTCCACTTGGAATTGAGAGCATGGTTGGTTACTCCCACAACTGTAGTGCATGTTGCACCAGTATGTCATGTGGGCAGGTCAAGTTGTAGATCAAAGCGCTTATAGCTGGGTTGGTGGTTACTAATGTGACATGAACATTAGTACATAGGGGCGAAAGCTCTAGGTAAGCACCAGGTCAACTTCTCTGTGTTCAATGAGATCTGTAGTTGTCTTCAGCAATAGGATCTTACTATAAGTTTGTGTAGAGCAACACATTGCCTGGGCAGTAGGTAAAGGTATTTGGGGTCTTCTATACAGCCTCTTTGTCCAACAACTCAACTAGGTGTAACTCATTTTTAGCACTAAATGTTTTACTTGATGGTTTTAAAAAATGTCCTATTGGGGTATTGCCTCCCCCCTTTTTTGATGACTCCATTTAGATTTCTTATACAATAGTAGGTTTTCATAGGACTCTTCAAATGACCCTTGGTATTAGTTGTCCCTAGCCATATTCCCTCGCTTATTCCTGTCTCTCATTACCCTCCCCATCTAATCCTCCCACTTGAATCCACACCCTATATCTAGATAACTTATATTCTAATTCCCCTTCCATGGCAGACTTCCCTACCTGCTAGTCCCTTACTCCACACCTAACCTCTGTGGTTATGTGGATTGTAGACTATCTATCAAAAGTTTAAGAGCTTTTGAAACATATACAATATTTGTCATTTGGAATCTAGGTTACTTCACTCAGGATGATTTTTTAGCTCCATCCATTTGCCTATGAATTTCACAATTTCATTGATTTTTTTAACAACCCAGCAATATAACACTGTGTAAATGTACCACACTTTAATTAACCATACATCTGTTGTCAGACATCTAGGTTATTTCGAGTTTCTGGCTATTATGACTAGAACAGCACTGAACATGGATAAGAAAGTGCCCCTGTAGTAGGATGTAAAGTCCTCTGGGTATGTGCTTAAATGTGGGATATCCAGCTCATGAAATAGATCTGTTCCCAGATTCCTGAAAAACCAACACACACTGATTTCCACAGCGCCTATAAAAGTTTGAACTCCCACCAGCAATGGATGGTTATTTCCCATACTCCATATCCTTACCAGCATGTACTATCAATTGCTTTATTGACCTTACCCATTCTCACTGTTATAAGTTGAAATCTCAAAGCAGATTTTTAAATTTACATTTCCATGGTGGCTAAGGTTATTGAATAGTGCTTTTAGCATCTCTTGAGAACTTTCTGTTTAGTTCTGTAGCCCATTTTTTACACTCGGTTATTTGTTTCCTTGATGTTCAGTGTTCTTAGTTCTCTATATATTTTCAATACTAAGCTTCTATCAGATGTGTAATTGGTAAAGATATTTTTCCCATTGTGTAGCCTGCTCTTTTGTCTGAATGACTGAGTCCTATGTTACTCAGAAGCTTTTTTGGTTTCTTGATGTCTCATTTATTATTATTGTTATTAATTTTATTTTTATTATTGTTATTATTATTAGTGGTGGTGGTGGTGGTTGTAGTGCCTATGCTAGCAATGTTCTTTGTCGAAAATCTTTTTTCCTGTGTCAAGGAGTCGGGAACTATTCCCAGCTTTGTCTTTGATCAGATGCAGAGTATCCAGCTTTATGTTCAGGTTCTTTATCCATTTTGAGTTGAGTATTGTACTGAGGGAAAAGACAGATGTATTTTCATTCTTCTACACACAGCCATCCATCTGACCAGTACTATTTGAAAAGATTCTTTCTCTTTTTTCCAGTGTGTATATATGGCATCTTTATTTTAAAAATGAAGTGTCCATGGGTGTGTGAATTTATGTCTGGGTGTCCAATTTGATTCCACTGATCAGCATGTTTGTTTTTATGGTAATATCAACTATTTTTATTACTATAGTTCTGCAGTAAAACTTGAAATTTGGATTGGTGATACCTGCAGCAGTTCTTTTATCAATCAGTATGATTTTAGCTATTCTGAGTTTCCTGTGTTTCTATAAGAATCTGAGAATTGTTTTACCAATTTATATAAAGAATTCTGTTGCATTTGGTGGGTTGAGTTGAATCAGGATATTTATGGGAATAGGATTGTCATTTTCACTGTATTGATCCTGCTAATATGTTAATATGGGCTATTTTCATTTTTTGGTGTCCTCTTCAGTTCCTTTCTTCAATGACTTAAATATTTGTCACATAAGAATTTCATGTGCTATCACATGGCATTTTATTTTGTTTGTTTCATTTTATTTTGAGGCTAGTATATAAGGTACCATTTCCCTGATCTATTTGTCATTTGTATATCGAAAGAATACTGAATTTTTGTGATAATTTTGTATTCTGCTGCATTGTTAAAAGTGTTTATCAGCTATAGAGTTTTTCTTGTGGATGTCTTAGGGTCTTTTGTAGAAAATAATGTAATTTTGAAATAAAGATACTATTTGTACCTCCTTGATCTCCTTCAGTTGTTGCTCTATTTAAGTCTTTATTTTTTAATGAAAAACAAGCTTCCTTCACATGTCAATCCCAGCTCCGTCTCCCTCCCCTCCTCCCCTGATCCCACCACCAGGGCCCTCAGACTC